CACATTTACGTGGATCTACAACTTTTCAATCATACATTCCATTAATTTTTATGAAACTCTACTAAAATTGGTCGACTAAATGAATTGTATCACTATTTCTATTTGTGTATTTTCCCTTTCGTTCAACTTTTATTTTCCCTTGCCTCCTTATCCTTAGGTCTATCATTACGTGTTCTTCTTTTGTTTACTTGGTCAATCCACACTTATGTAATAAGGAGCCATAATCTCTTCTTACACATGCTATAGTATCAAAAATATATATGGATCGATATAGTCGAGATTCTACCTTACAAATTGAGAGCATGTCCCTTTATGCTTCTGCTTGCTAGAAGGTCACGTGACTGTCAGTTAAGAAAAATTCTACACAAGCACTTTCTCTACTGGGGCCAATATATTTGGTTGTATCGCCGCTTCTACCGTTTTGCTTGAGGAAATGAAGCCACATACCATCACCTCTCCATTCTTCACTTTTGAAGTGATGGGAGTGCAGCACCACACCTTGTTCACTCACCCCTTTGAGATGACACAACTCTTAGCAAACTTGTTACCTCTTCGCTTTGAGATGATCAAAAGAGACTAGCTCATGGCTATACCAAGTGGACTTCTTGAGTCCGAGATGGTTGAGATACGATCTTTAATGCCCTGTGCAAATGGCAACCCAACACTTTGAGCTATGTTTGATTGAATTGATGTGACATTTCTATAAAGGTGATCGATGGTCAAATCTCTTCTTATCCATTAAGCTGTGAGAGGTCAAAGATCTATATAATTAAATTATGCGACAATAGGAACTTAAAAGTTTGAGAGGCCACATGTGACATAGTGGTGAAATTTAAAATTCAAATGAAGTTTAACGATCTAATTGAAATAAAAATTGAAGTTCATTAACCTAATTGAAATTTTGTTGAAAGTTCAATGATTGAAGATGAAAATTTACCCAATTTTTAAAAATTAATGTTAAACACATAAATGCACAAAGTCCTGCTAACAAGGCCATGTAGGCCCTATTCAAACGGGGGGGGGGGGGGGGGGGGGGGGGGGGGGGGGGGGGGGGCAATGTGGCACCTCTATTGGGGGGTAGTTTTTTGAATGGCTGGAAAATTGATCATATTTTCCACAATGGCCTCTTTTATTAAAAATACTATTTTTTCCTTACTTTAATTATTTGCAAGCTGTATCATATATATCTTCAAGGATTTATTAATTAGGACCTATATCTGTATTTTTTAATTTTTCAAATACCTTTAAATATTCTTTATTTTTTAGTAGTTTTTCAAAGATCCTAGGCTGACCTTTCTTGGTTATATATTCTCGAACTAATCCTTCTGAAATTTCTTCTTGTATATCTCTATGTTTAGTTATAATATCTTCTACCTTTCTTATTTCTCTACTAGTTCCTACAGAATCAAATCCTATATTATTTTTACAATTATAATCTATATCTTTATATATTTCTTCAATTTTTTCTTTGCCAACAAGAAATATATCTTCAGACTTTTCATCTAATTTAAATAAAAACGAAACATCTTTTTCATCTAAAAATAAAATGAGATTATTATCATTAGTGGATGTGGATGCTTGTGAATTGTTCATCAGAATAATTAAAGTATAAGCATGTAAGAACAAATAAATAACTTACAACAATCAAATGGAAGTAAACAGGCTTTCCCTCCAGTATACTCTTATAGATGCTTTGCATGTACTTAATCAGTCTTCTGAATCAAGTAAAGATTTAAAATGTTTTTGAAATCATTTGGGTCCACAACTGCTTCCGCAAAAGGCTTTTCAATTAAAGTTGCATTTCTCACTCTAAAGAACTAGCCGTGTTTCCACAGACGCTATCTCACAGTATCCAGAGTCTCTGTTTTCACCTCTATCCAAACTCTTTTCAAAATCAAGTTCCTACTTGGAACGAAATTTTAAAAGATAACTCACACACAAGGTACTACAATTTTGTTAGGAAACTGCCTTTTTTCCCTAAACCATTCATCAAAGACGGGTACTTTGGCATGGCTAACATCCATTCAAAATCAATGTTTTGAAATTTTTTAAAATCTCTATTTGTACTACCGAGAAATCATGAGAAACTTAACGAAATCCTTTTATG